GAGAGACAGAGGCAGGGGCAGTGGGGAGGGGGAGTGCAAGCTGCCAGGTTGGGGACTCAAACTGTAGTCATCCAGTGTCTCAACCACCATGACTCCTGCTAGCCCCTCTTGTGAAATTATTTTAGAAAGACTCCATTTACTTGATGGGAAAGGGGGCTTGGCTAAGGTATTTGAGTTGTTATTGAGTTCTTTTATTTATTTATTTTTTTTGAGAGATTTTTGTTATAGGGTGCTCGCACTCACCAGAGAGACAGACAGTGAGAAATCACCCCCCAAGGGGGGATGGCCACGCTGCAGTCCCTTTTCCTCCATTCTCCTCTTGGGATTTTGCGCACGCATGCACACACACACGTACCTGGCATGAGTTTTAAGTTGCCAGGTCTGGGACTTGAACCACAGTCGACTACATTGGAGTCCAGAAACATAACCACTGTGCTATCTGCTGGTCCCTCAGCGAGTTATTGACGGGACCTGGACCAGAACTCAGGGCTTCTGAGGCCAGCACTCTTTCGACCACATGTCCCCTGGTGCCTGCGTGGAGCTTCCTTGTTCCAGCTCCCTGTCCTGGAGTGGGTGACTGTACGTTCCTTTCTGTGTGGACTCTAGGTGCAGCCAGATATTAGTAGCCAGAAATTGCTGGGTGAGTCCAGCTCTTTCTTACCAAACTAGTTTGGGCAGCAGCTGGGAGGGCCTAGAGCCCAGAGCCCTGATCGCATTTATCAAATACCTCCAGAAGCCTCACCCCGGCTGTTCATGTAGGAAGAGGGTTCCCTTGCCACATGGGGCGGCTGGGAAGGCAGCCTCAGCCCAATGCAAAGGTCGAGTTTGTCCAGGCTGGTGCATGTACGGGTCAGTTTCCTCATCTATAGAGCAGGGACAACGACACCGTGCAAGGTGAGCGTAGGGAGAAATAAGCACCCCGCACCTCAGCCAGAACTGTGACGGAGTGACACAGGAAGAGATGGAGCGCAGAAACTCAGAAGTCCACTCCTGGCGTTTCCCCTGACCAGCACTGTCTCCTGATGAGCAAGTCCGTGGCCCTGGACGGTTCCCTCTCAGGAAAGACCGAGTGTCGGGGCCAGACAGTGGCACAGCGTGAAACGTGAGGCTTTGTGAGCAATTCTACATGCAAGGTGCCCTGTTCAAGCCCAGGGACTTCCCTGACTATGGCAGGCGTGCACTTGCACACTTAGCCATGACCCGGGCCGCATGCTCGCTCGTGACTGCACGTGGCTGAGGGCTGGGGGCGGATTACGGTGTCGGGACTTTGTTGGGACGGCTACCTCTGTCTTTCCAAAAAAAAGAAGAAAAGGCATGTGACCATGGCCAGCTAGCAACCAGGCCAGGAAGGAAGGTGGGGACAAATCTGAGCCGTGGTGTTGGTTACCGATGGTGTCTAGCATTGGACGGATCTGGGTTCCAAACCTGGCTCCACCACCTAACAGCGGTGTGACCTGGACAAGTGACGTATAGTCTCGGCTCGGGCCATCTGTAAAATAGGGTGATGACCCTGCCTCACGGGCTATCCCTTCAGTGTGTGAGGGACCAGTGATAACAACAGCTAATACTTATTAGGAGCTTCCTTGGTGCCAGACATCTGTTATAAGATGCTATTCTCATGCCTAAATTATATTATGTCATCAGAAAAGTCATGACACTTTTGCATAGAAAAACAAAAAAGTCGTGACTTTCCTCATGACCCAATAGATAAGTAGTGAGGAAAGAACAGCACCACAGGGCCAGCCGGTGTGCGGTGGCTGAGGGGGCTGGATCCCACGTGGCCGACGGTGCAGGTAGGGTCCTGAAACACGC